AGGCCGCACGGAAGGTGGTCTTAAGTATCGCCCCGTGACAAATGACCTAAGTTAAGGTTTTAGAAATTTTAGGGGATAATATTCTCACTAATTTTATGTATTTTTTATTTTTAAACTCACATTTTTACTTTAAAATTCAAAACTCTATAATTTTTTTATAATTAACTATATATTTAACTATCTTAATCAAGTTAAATTCATTACTTTAAAATATTACAAATGTTAAACTATAATCTCAACTCTATATCATAATTTTTTTTTTCATAATCTCATACCAGTCAAAAAAGAATAGATTTTGGATTTATAAGTAAGGGTCTTTCTTTACTTAGGACTTATAAGTAAAGGTCTTTCTTTACTTAATAAGTATGTATTTTAGATTAAAAATATAAATATGTAACAAGTGGTATTATCAAGCTTACTTAATTTTTCATAAACATGGGATCTCCATAAAAGATACACAAGGTCGACATAGGTCAAAACTAAAATAGATTTTATTTTTCTATTGGTGAAAAAGCTAGTGCAATGAATGCTAAGTAAAATGTTATGTATTTCACATTAATGAAAATATGATAAGTCTTAAATTTATAAATAAGAGTTTTTTTCTATTTAATAAATATATTTTTTAAATTGAAAATTTGATCTCGTGATATTATAGGCATTGTTATGTAAATTTGTGAATGTGTCATGCGAGGGTCGAGTTGCATCATAACAACATCTTAAAAATTAAGCCCAAATTTTATCCAACTTGTCCATTTTATATTTTATATAATATTTTATTATTAAAACAACAAAAATATTTTATATTAATGTTTTTGTAACTTTTTAATGTTTTAAGATTTGACAAAGAAACTCTTTAAAAAAATTATTTTATTTAATTTTATTATTTATCAATAAAATAATAATTTTAGATTTTAAAAATCTAAGGGCAAGTTTGGCCATATAAGCTTAGTAAGTAGCTCAGCCTTTAGATTGATATTTTGGCATATATTAGGAAGGAACTTAAAAATACATATTTTTTTTATTTGAATACTTGTAATTAAGTTCCAAAAGTGTCCAATTAAGCACAAAAAGTAAAAAGTAGTAATATTTATAACATCATATAAAACTCAACCAAGCAAGTACGGTTTATAAGCTGTCTCCACTTCTACATGACACGTGTCAAAGAGGACATTGTTGAATTTTTCTAAATTCCTTTGATTGGTCTGGTTATTACTCATTTGCCTATAGAGATTTGGGATTATTTTTGTTATTAAACACTCGTTAAAATCCATTGAGGTGGGTCTGGGTCTTTCTCTGGTTTTTCCTGAAGTCCAACCCAGAACCACTGTTGGGCTTGACTTGGATTCTTGTTGGCTTGATTTATAATCTTGCTAGTGACGACGCCATTGAGCTAATGCTAAAGGAATCGATACGACATCGTTAATCAGTTAATTTAGCAGTTCATTTTCGCCTTTTCTTGCTTGCGAAGACACTTCGTACACACTAGTCTATAAAACTCCCAAAGAAGACACAGAGAAAAAGAAAGAAGAGACGGAGAAAAGTGAAAAATGGAGGCACCGAAGACGATTCAGCACGAAATCGGAGGAGTACAAAACGACGCGCTTCGATTCGGCCTCCAAGGCGTTAAGAGTGACCTCGTCGGATCTCACCCTCTCCAATCTGCTTACGAATCTGTAATCCGTCCCTCACCTTCTTTTGTCTTTTTTTTTTATTGTTTTAGAAAATATCCTCCGTTTTGGTTTACGAGAAAATCCAAGAAAATAAGGAAATTTGTAATCATTGATTCACTGCTTAGAAAACAAACGCACACGCAAAATGGTTGTATTACTACAGAAGAATTGGAAAAATTAGTTTTAGGGGTTTTCTGTTACTGAAAAAGAAAGATAGGTTTTTAGTGTTTTATAATTTTGAATTCGGTTTTGAAGCAGTTTATGCGGGTATTTTTTTTTTAGGCGAAGAAAACGCAAGAGGAGATGAGGAGAAAAGTCCTGGCTAATACTTATGGGACAGCATTGCCGCTCAAAATGGATCTCGATAGGCAAATTCTGTCGCGGTATGATCTTTAGCCTTTGGATGTTTATGACTAATTACTGCTCCTTTTTAAGCTGGATTTTTGGCTGTTAATGCTTAGTGAAGTCTGAATATTGGATTTTGTGTTCTGTGATTCAATTATAATGCAGTCCCTTTTAGACCATTGTTGGATTACATAGCGTAAATGTTGAGATTAATGGTCTAAAAGGGACTTTTTCTCTAGCTTGTAAGGGTTTAGGGAATACACACACACACGCATGCACACAAGATCTGCTGCTAGTGATTATCTTGTTCTCTTTTATTTTGGGGTACTTGTACAGAAGGATTAGACATACATTTAAATGAACTGTAGTTTAAGGATTCTCTTGTTCTCTTTTGTTTTAGACGCTAACTGAAGGATCTTATGGGCTGTGTGGTGAATGGGAGGTTTTTGTGTGGAAGGAAAAAACAATTTGCATGAATGAATAGGGTATAAAAGAAGATGGAGACTATTGAGGTATTCAGGGTTTGGTTTCTTTCTTTTTTTGAGAGAACCTTTTGGTTAGTTGATTCTTCGAATTGTTTGCAAAGAGATTGTGATTGACAAAATCATTTTTTTTTAATCAAAAACTGGTTTTTGTGAGAAACGAGTGGGAGCATTTGCTTTTTTTTTTTTCGCTTTTTTGTAAATGTACTTTGTTTGAGAGACCAACAAGGCTTAAGGATTTTGACTAAATGACAAAGAGAAGGTTTGTATTGAAGTACTGATCTACTAGTTATATCCAAAATCTAGAAAACGGTTGAGCCACCCGAATTTCTGTCATTATTAATGGTTGTAGGTTGTTGGAAATTTTTTTTATGAAGATGGGCTGGCGTCTATTTGAAATAGGAAGAATATCAAGAACGCTGCTCATATAGCAGTATATGTGTTTCATTATTTTGGTTCACTGACTTTAACGGCCTTCATCATATGTGTTTTTATGCAGACAATCTAGCAAGTGTCGTTCCATGCTATCTACTTCTCTTATTATTTCACTTATGAAGCTGTATATGTTGTAGTGTGCATTGAAACAGTAAATACACTTGATCTTTAATGGTTTTGGAGATAGCTTGGCTATGGACTGGGCAGATTAGTAGAAAAGTGATTCATGCAGCTAATTTCCCCTAGATTGGGCTATGATCTACCTGGATTTAGTTGGTGTATGATACTTTAGAGTTGCAAGAATCAGATTAAGAACTCAGTGCTAAATTGCTTTTATGGGTGGTCTTTGAAAATTTTGCAGGTTTCAGAGGCCGTTGCTCCCATCTTCGATGCTGGGGTTGGAAGCATTGACAGGAACTTTAGATGATTTTGGATTTGAGGATTATCTGAATGGTATAACAATGCACTCTAAATACAAAACAATAATTTTTTAACTTTTGAATTTCGTTGTACAGATTTGTCCCTTGATTCTGTTTGCTTGAACTTTCTATTTAAAAATACTATTGGTCAATATCGTTGTATATTACTTGTTAATCTTTTCAAGCCACTACCTGCATTACTCATGGTTACTGTCCATCAGTGAAAGGCTTGAGGAAGGTTAGTTCAGTGTCATGTTTGGAGTTGTGTTACTTTGGTAGTTCCTTTTCCTTTCCATGTTGTTAGGTTTTTATTAAGTATGGATGACATGGTGAATTGTGATCTAGTAGCTATTTAGGGGCAGAATAAGCGTTCATGGTCCTTTTCTTTATCCTACATTTTGTATTGTCATTTGCCTTAAACTCCTTGACTCCTAAGCAGAGCTTTTAGAGATTGAAAGAAATAAATCAGTCTACCCCTTTTTCTGAGAAAAGAAAAAAAAACTCTGCTCAATTTATATATATCATCTATAGGAAAATTCAGATACTTTTTTCTGCTGGTTTTGTAAATTTCTTATGAAAGTGGTTTTCACTTTCTGCACTACTAATCATTCTGTTGATTGAGCCAGACGTCTTAATAGCAGTGTGCTTACTTGCAAATTGTTAATAGTGCTTGTTGTTTGCCAATAACATTGTGCTTAGCAGTAATATAAAATTTTTGTTGCTGGTTGCAGATCCTCGAGAGTCTGAGACTCTGCGGCCACTTGACTTGCACCATAGCATGGAAGTTCGCCTTGGCCTATCCAAGGGACCACTCTGCCCTAGTTTTATATGATTTTGAATCACTGCTTGAGTGTATCACAAAGGGAATGTCAGTACTGAATGATTGTTGATGGATTTTATTATAATAGCCAACTCAAGGATTGAAGATATAGTATGATGTGTTGCTTTACCTCATTCAGACCCTTTGTTGTATGCAGTTGTCCCAAGTATGAATTAACATTTGGCATCACGGATGCTATTAAAATTCTAAATCTTTTGCTCTTGGCTATTTCTTTGTTTTGATTTACAATAGTTGGCAAAGCATCCAATTTTAGTTGGTGGTATTAGTCTATCAGATTGGAAACTGATTGAAAGGCAGGAAGGAAATTTATGTGTTTTTTGCCTTCCTGCCGTTTGTATTTAGCAGCTCTTTGCCTATCGGAGGGTTATTATGTAGCAGTCAGCACTGTCTTAGGCTGTTTCTTTACTTAGGTTAGGAATTGCCAGACATTTGATAGGGTTAATTAGATAAAAATATTTGAAATTAATTATGGGCAAAAACAAATTTTGCACATAAATTAAACATAATTTATGATATTCCTTCTCTAAACAAATTTTCATGGTTCAAAAAATGTGATTATTGGAAAAAGAAAATGGTTTTATAGCCAACAAAGAAAGTCCGATAAAGGAAAAAAGGTTTGAGATAAAAGAACAAAAAAGACAAATAAGGGAAGAGAAAAACAGTATACAATAATAAAAGGAAACAAAATTGTTTTTGTTCTTACTGTTTCCGCGCATGCTCCCTTCATAGCTCTTTCCATAAAAACCCTAACAAGCAATATTTTCCCGAGAAAATCATGAATCCCCCTTAAATTTCCCTCGAACCAAACACTCCCTTCAACCAGATGGACTCTCGCCGCTCCGCTCGAACAGTCAGCGACCCCAAGGTCCGTCAAGTCGGGTTTTTCACCCAACCACCACCACCCGACCGTTCCATCTCGGATCCTCCGCGTCTCCACGATCCGATCCAATCCTCCTCTCCTTCTTCCCCTCCGGTAAACGACAACTCTCCCTCCGGTAACTCCCTCTCCCCTGTCATGATCCCTCCGCCTCGTCACCACTCCGACACCCTCCTCCGTGCGGCTCTGCAAGCTACTTCCCCAACGACGTCATTCTCGTACTCCGCTCGAACAGTAACCGTTCCTCAGGAAAACGATGACGTATCATCGTTCTCGCCTGGCCGTAGGATTGTTTCCGGAAAATCGCCATCGTCTTTTCCAGGCGTCAAAGCGAGTAGTGTACCCGCGAGTGAGCTTACCACTGTGTCGGTGGTCAATTTGCCTCCAGGAATTTCTGGTAACGATAATTTTTTCTCTTTAAGTGAAAATTATCTTATTTCTAATGTTAATTTAATAAAGAAGCTGAAAAGTTCTGGAAATTTTCTTTTGATCATTGTTCTTTGTGGGAAAGTATGAAGTAATTTAAATTTTGTTAATGATGTATATTGACAATAATAAAATACGAAAATTTTAAAGATTTTGGCATTTTCGCGTAGTTGAATTCTCTGTATATAAGGAATTGGGAATGGCTGGGTAGGAGGGTTCTAAATTCTAATTGAACTGAGTCAAGTCGATAAAGTAGAAAATTTCAAGCTGGAGAGTCAGGGCTTGAAGCTGGACTACAGCTAGATTGAGTTTTGATTTCCAAACCTAAGCTTGGCACGAGAAAAAAAATCAAACTGCTTGACCTTGACTCAGTTAAGCGAAATGAGGCTCAATTTCTTTAAATAATGTAATGCATATTTTATAGAAATTATATTAAAGATATATAAAGAAAAAAAGAAAACTCTAAAAGGTTTCATTAGGTTGCAAGCTGCTTGAACCAAGTTTTAAGATACTCAAATGTGGGTCAATTGACTACTTCACCTTGACAGCAATCAAGTCAAGTTAAAGTGTTTTCTGAGAGCTTAAATGGCTTGCAAGCTGGCTTGACTCACTTACTCGTCAGGAGAGGAGTAGCTTTGTTATGTGTGAATAAGTGATTAACAGCTTAGCCTTTTGTCTTATGTACTGTTAAGCTTTAATTGTAGTGTATATTGATTAATTCACGGGTTGTTGGTGTTTTGTATATTGATTGATTCACGGGTTATTGGTGTTCTTATTTTCGTACTTGGTAAATTCATGGGTTCCGTTTAGATGGTTTTTGTGGAACCTGTTAATTTGACTTATTTCCTAAGTTGCATGGATTCTTCACTTTAACTAACATAGCCAATTCTGACAGTTCTTGGTAATTGTAAATTTCAATAGCAAAAAGTTGACAAGTGCAGCATATTCGTTTTGGATACATGCTCATAGTTGACACCAGATCTTGAGTCCAGATGACATAGACTTTTTCTCCTTAACCACAATGCAGTAATAGCTTCACATGCTGAAAGAGAGAGAGCTTTCATGCTAAACTCCTAGCTGCTAAGCAGAACTATCAACAGAGTTTGATTAGAAAATAAGTATGAACTATTTTCATGAGATAGTTTTATCACATTTTTTGTTGTTTTGTATTTTCTTTCCTTCTTAGGGTGAGTTTTTTGGGGGAACGTCAACTGAAAGGTAGTTAGTGGCAACATTATATTATCCATGGAGGGAAATGGATCTCTTATGTGGAAGAATGGAAAAACGTTTCATGTGGGGTCAATAGAAATTGAAACTCTTTTAAGTTGTGTATGGTTGGATGTATTTAGTGTCTTGCTTTGTCATTCTAAAGACCTGTGCAATGAAGCATTTACATGCTGAAAAGGAAAAATTGACTGCAGAAAAGTCTGGTGGAGCAGCAGTTGAAGTGCAGAATGATCGACCTGCTAGGTCCAAGCCATTGAAAGAGAAAACTTCTAAAGCTGAAAGACGTGCACTGCAAGAGGCTCAACGAGCTGCCAAGGCTGCTGCAAAAGGTACATATTGGTACTTACTTTTTGTTTTTGATGCCCATGAGCTTTGTTAAATGATTTCTCTTACATCAAATGAGCTTATTGTTGTCTTTGTTAGAGTTATTTGTGTTATCTTGTGCAATTTACCTTTTTCCAAA